GATCCACAGTGGATACACTGGACAAAGAGTGGGGAGACAACATCCAGTGTCTGTGTGTGTGGAGGTATGAGAGAGAGAGAGAGAGAGACGGGGAGGGAGAGAGAGGGAGGCAGAGGGTAAAAAATAAAATGAGAGGAGACAGAGGAGCGATGGCAGACTGGGTGACATCACTGTTGGCGGTCACAGGCCAGTGCTGCATTGCAGGTACCGGGACAATACCCAGCAAGGAAGAGGAGGAGGGGAAGGGAAAGAAAGAAAAGAGGAAGAGAGAGACAGAAAGAGACTAAATGAAAAAGACCAGGAAAGAAAGGAGGGGGGAGATGGGAGACAACAATGTGAGAGGAAAACAACAGCTCATGTTAAGCTTTTCCCCAGACACTTCCTCCCTTCAGACGCACAGGCAGCCAAACATTCACAGTTACAGTTTAACCTTACTGGAAGATCTGGGAGATAGTTTCCCCTCACTGTAAATTTCCATTTCAAAGTTTTCTTTTAATTTAATTCAATATTCCTCAACAAAGCATAAAAAGCATTTTAGTTTCTGTTAGGAACTGTCTGAGGCTGGTGAGGGGCATTTTGGGTACTTAGGTCCTCACTACTGCCCTGCATAGAAACACAGAAAGCTCCTGGATCATTTAAGAATATAGGTTTATGTTTCTGAGTGTTTTAATCATTTAACTTTGTTTCTGAGGAACACTACTGGAGAAAACCCATCAGTTTCTTCAAAAGATTTAAAGTGCTGATTGTTTTTTAATCAGGTTTTCACCGCTAGCAGAATTAAGCTCTCTGATTGGATGTTTCTTTCTAAAATGCACCACAGTTGACTTCTCTCCTTAGCTTTTCATGTCCACAAGCTTGTACTTCTGACTTTTTACATCATCAAAGCCTTGAAGTGCTCCAACTATCAGTCATTTTGACATGGTCTCTAAAATCATCCTCCCACTTGGTAAGTCTATGGTTTCATGTTGTGGAATAAAAACTACAGCACACAACTGTAAACATCTGAACCACTTCAAGCTCACGTTCATAGCCTTCGAAAAAATGTAAAACTTGAATGCAGTTAAATGTAAATGACAAGCACAGCAACACACAGGTCAGAGAGTGAGTTGTTGCTGTTAAGTAAAACATCCTGCTGCTTCTGAAATCGATGTGACTGAAGGTTTGTCCTGCAGAGGCGTCCTGCCTCAGCACGCTGAAGCACAAAGTGGCGAGGTCAGTGATTTTTAGCATAAAGCAGCAGTGGGAGAATGTGTGTTAATGTGTGTCAGTGTACGAGTTGGGGACAGGTCAGTGCTGACAAAAAGCTGCATGCTGAGCAAAACCCTCTCACAGACAAGATAAAGGTTTTTTTACACACTCATTTTTCTTCTGCTGCTTTAAAGTAACATAAATGCTGTCATTAATGTCCTGACGTTTAACACCTTTGTTTCTTTTATATGCTGTTCCTTAAACCAATCGTGTAAGATCCTGCTTTAAAACGGAAAAATTAGAAACTCACAGGTGATGAAGGTCACAAAAAAAGAAAGAATTCAATAACTACAGGGTTAAAGCTCTAGAAACAACAATCATAAAGTCATATCCAAGTTCAATTGAGAAACAGATGAACAGATCAATAGAGAATTAAACACCAGGGAAATAAAAGGTCCCTCTCACATCGATCCACAAAGGAATATACTTCCAGTTTGTTTTTATGACATTGAGCTCTTGTTCCCATAATGCACTTTGCTTCACTTTGCAAGTCGCTTTGGACAAAATCATCTGCCAAATGAGTCACGTAATGTAAAAAAAAAAAACATCCTGTAAAGCAAATCTTACCATAAAGCTGTCCTGCTCATTGATTTGCAACACTGCCCTCAATGACCTGATACAGGCAGAGACATTACAGTGATCACTGCCTCAGCATTAACTGTGTGGCTCAACTCTGCTGTCAGGCTTCAGCTTTAAAGAGAGATAAATTAATAAAACCTTCAGTGCCTGAATACTCAATATTACTGACTGCTCACACAATCATCATAATGCAATCTGACACTTTGTTTTGTTGCTTTTTCCTGTTGAAAACTCATCCCAACACCTATTTGACATAACACTTACTACACAGCAGGGCTCAAAGAAGATATCCTTTTGCATATAGAAATTATTAAACATCAGCGACTGTATGTATTGTAACATACAGCTCCAGGACGCAGCCAAAACCTTCCATTTTGATTCCTCTATCTCTGAATGTGTGTGTCATCCAGGTGCTGGCCAATATTTCAGTTATCATGGTTTTGTTGACGGCATGATGACAATATGATCACAATATGTTATTATTTCACTAAATGTCGCTCTTTAAATGAATGATTTCAAGCAAATTCACAAGTTTATGTGAATGTGATGTGTTTTTAAGTCATTTTGCTGTATATAAATATCAGTAAAATATTCTTTTTATGGTGATACTGTCAGCCACACTGAGCAGCACTGGGATATCCTTCCTTAATAAGTTGCTCACCCTGACAAGAATAAACCTCTGCAGGAAACACACACACACACAACAAACAGTGCACATACAATCAGAAACCAGGCACTTGAACGCCACACTGTGCGCATTAGAACCGGTAACCTTTTATAAAGTGCAGATCAAAACAGCCCTTACCTCCTCTTGTACTCGTCTCTCTCTCTCTTCACCTTGGCCAGCACGTTGTACAGGGCCCTGATCTCAGGTGTGATGGTGTCGATCTGGACCCCGACACCGTCCGGGTGCGTCCAGGAGACTCCGGGGCCCGTGACGCACGACTCCCTCCCGGTGCCGAACCTGCGGGTATGGTTGAAGGACCAGATCGTCCCCGGGAGGAAGCGCGGGGGAGGAGGGGGGATGTTGTTGGTGTTGGTCCCGGCGTGCGAGGCGTACCTCTCGTTGATGTTGGTGATGGTTTTGGACGGGTCGGTGGGACTCAGGGCCGGGCTGATGGATGTGGTGAGGTTGGAGTTTGAATCCGTGATCGGGTTGAGGTTGTTCCCCAGCAGGTATTTGTTGTCAAAAAGAGGAGGAGGGTTCAGGGTCGGAGAGAGGAGGCCGCCGGGCAGGTAGGCCGAGTTGTTGGCGTTGTGGAGAGGGATGAGGCCCGGTCTGGATGGAATAGGCCCAATAAATCCAGTCTGGACCCCCATCTCTTTGGTCAGCGGCTTCTGGTGGGCTTCCCCTGCGCAGTTCTCCTCCAGAGCCTGCTGCAGCTGCTTCTCCAACACCTTGTTCCTGCGCTCCAGCTCGTGCACTTTGGCCAGAAAGCAGCGGAAGCGCAGGTTCAGGGTCTTCAGGACGCTGATGTTGGATCCCAGGTCGTTGCGCAGTGCCGTGGCCGCCGGGGGCACGCGGTGCAGGGGGCTGCTCAGGTGCAGGTAGGCGAGGCCCGATGGCGGCAGGGCGCCCAGGTCCAGCCCGGACAACCCATCGGGGCCGAACCCGCCGTGGTCCCCCAGGAAGTATCCCGGCTCCGGGATGGCAGAGTCGTTCTGACCCGTCATCTGGTGGTGGTGCTGCTGCGGGGCCAGAAAGCCACTCTCCCCGAGAACCGGATTCATGCTCGAATAGGAAAATCTGAAGTGCTCGAAATCAGGCATGAACCCAGACTTCTTTATGTTCAACACGGCAGGTAATTCCGTATAGTCGTCTATTATTGTCCAGAACCGGAATCGGGCCCAGCAGCCTCGCTTTAGAGTCCTCCTCCTGGTTTCACCCGAGGATCACCTTTATGCAGAAGAGCTGTGAGCTGGTCAGATGTGCAGTGTGAGGAGGATGCTTTACAGGCCTGAAGTCGCAGCAGAATAACAAACTCCCACTGGGATACTATAGTAAACACATGCTCATACGCTATGCGGAATATAAAAAAATAAATAACATAAAGTACCACAAGGTGCCTCTAAACTCGCAGACACACAGCTGGTCCCTGCAGCAAAATTACATTACCGAGTTCACTTAAACGCAGGAGCAATTTCAAGACGCGCACCGGTCCTAAAATGTTTATTCTAAGCCTTAGAATAAAGCGACGGACGTATTCTGTAGCTTCAACGCAGATTTAAGCACCATACCTGGTAGTCAGAGGAGGAAAAGGCTAACTTTGGCACCAGATAGTGAGGTTAAACGGGTCCAAGCAGAGTGTCGAGAAGCGGTGCAGCAGAGCTCCGGGATAAACACACTGAATGACTGCGGCGTTCACTGACCGTACTGACGGTGATAGAGGAGCACCGGCGGTCTGTGAGCGCTACCGTAGTGAGCACAGTAGAGGCGCACCTGTGCTTTAAAACGTCCTGGAGTCAGCCAACATAGAGCTAACATTAGATAACAAAAGCGTTTTGAAATATAATATAATCCTTTTTCTAACAGATACAAACAATATATACATGTACAAGTTTGGATTTTCTTATTCTTATTTTCTTATTGTCTGGGAGTTAGTTTGACTTCACTTTCAAAATGAAGATGGTTTATAATTGGCAAGAAGGATCAAATTGATGATATAATATTGATTTCTTTTGGTAGAGAGGTAAGAAAAAAAAATATTGTAAAAAAACAATATACTGGGAAATAAAAGCACAAATATTTTTCCAAAAAGAACAAGAATGGGAACAAGACCGTGAAATGATTAATCTTCTGGAGCCAGTTGACAAAATGAGCATGTTACATCAATGTCCTTTTTATATCTTTGTAAAATTCATTTGGAGGGATAAAAGTCATTATTTATTTTATAGGACACTATAAAATACAGCCCAGGTCTGGGTGGAGGCCGATGGTGGCTAACAGGTAAACATACAAACAAAAAAAGCTTTTAAATGTGTAACTATTGTAAGCTTCACAATATACGTTTTTAATTTTTTATTATTTATATTTTATTTTTTATCACCTTTAGTCCCCCGGCTGTAACATTTTTGAACTTACTTCATTAAAGTTTATTTTTATATCGAAGCACTATGGTGCTGCAGAGATGCATAAATCTTGTTCTTCAGATCAGATTTAGGTGTTTGTTTGGGACAGCCATCATGATTTAATTGGTTTTTTTAGTAAAAAAAAAAATTCTGATGCAAAAATAATCACTAATGCAAAGAAATGGCAATATGATGTTTTCACCCTATCATGCAGCCCTAGGTGAGACCTGTATATGACTATGAGTGAGACTACAACAGATAAATACTCTGCAGTTGT